GGACTGACAAAGAGTCGTAGCACAGCAGATGGCCCAGAAGGCCTCCGTGAACCCAAGACAGACTTAACAGAGCTAAACAGCAAGGTTACATGGGCTAGAAGTCTGCTGCCAAAGTAACTAGCTCTTTTGCTTGCATCATTTTCCAAAAGAAGCTTGGAATTAAGGGGAGGATGGAAGAAAAAGCGGAAAGAATTGAATAAAATTTGCCTGACCTTGTTCCACAAGTGCAACCACAAGAACTGTTCTCTGTATCTGGGAGCAGCAGTGAGGAAGCTGCAGTGACTGAAATGCAGGGGGACCAACAGGAAACATAAGATCCCTGAGAAAGTCCTGAGTGAAATACCTACTCTGGAGGTAGTAAATGCTCTATGCCCAGCCAATCAGCACAGGGTGGTGGCACTGCTTCTGCATACAGATAAACACCCCAGGCAGCAAGAGACCTATTTTCCACCCAGCAACCCAAGCAGAGGATTTGCAACTTAAGTAAAAGCCTCTGGGTTCCTCCCAAAATGCTCACATACAGAATCCCACCTGGTCAGTCAGGTTGGATCAGGACACAAGGTTCTCAGCTGTGCAGCAAGCAATTCAATTACGCTTCTCCCCAGGGCAGCATCTCTTCTCCTTCAACAAAAAGTATGGACCGAGCCAGAAGCAGACTTTCCACTCCAACAAACTGGCAACCATCCCAATGCAGATCAAGTCTGCACAGGAGGGAGAGTCTAACCCTGGCACAGGGAAGATGTCACTGAGTCACTCCTGCAAAGGCCCTGGCCTCCTCTGAAACTGAAGTCAGTTTCTGCTGGGAGGAGGCAGCACATAGCTTGGGCTATTGCTGAGAATACTACAGATACTTGAAGTTAGTCTACCCCCCTCAGGTGGCACAGCTGTCTACAAGGTGGGGGTCTGCATATCTGAAGGTCATCTTGACCCACCTAGTAGCAAGACTGGTGGGATGGAAAGACTGTCTGTGGAAAGGGCAGAATGGTGGGTCTGCAAGAAGATCCAGCTCAAATTCAAGATCTAGGGAAGTGATTCTCAACCAGGGTGGTTGGAGTGCCATGACAGCTTTTTACGGGTGCTGTACAATAGTAAACACCTAAGCATGATTCACAAGGTAAATAGGAATCCATAGTGTCAAAAACACTCTGACCTGTTGGGATCTTTCTGATTTACTAGGGTGCCTTAAGTCTAAAGAGGATGAGAACCACTGAGCAGGTATCTCAAGTCTCACAGAATTCAATTCAAAGTTGTCTTGGGCTGGAAGGCTTCAGGGGAAGAGGTGTAATTCAAATCTCATTGAGAATCACTTGCAAGGTACCCTTTCCAAAGGAGACTGCCACCAACAAGAGCTGCTCTGAGCAAATGCAAACCCTCAACACATTTGCAAGCGAGAGGTTGGGCTGCACAGGCAGGGACGTTCACAGATTAACTGCTGTGCAGTTGGTTAATCCCCGTTTTGCTGTTAATTTACCGTTTTGCTTCTTAAGTCCTTGTTCATCTAATCGAGAATTATGACAGGCCATGTGTTGGATACCCTGCTTTAGAGTTAGTCTGACCCAGGACTCCCAGAAATACAAATCTAAGTTCAAGGCACCTGGACGATCCAAGAACCTGAAGGATCAGCTAGTCAATTCACCAGAGCTTAACACAGGGGTGAGCCAAATACGGCCCACGGGCTGCATCCAGCCCACGAGGCCATTCTATCTGACCCGCAGGGCCCCTAAAAAAATTTAGAAAATTAAAATATCTGTCCTTGGTTCCTGTGAAAAATGACAGGAACCAGGGGCAGTAGGACCCAGGGGAATCCTCGGCAGGGTCCTGCAACAGCAGGGTCCACCCAGCCTCGCCCCCCCCAGCCGGAAGCCCCAGCAGAGATTTCTGGCCTGGGACCATGTGGCTGCCCCGACCCAGGAAGCCCAGGTAAGGGCGGGGTGGGGAGGGAGAGGAGGGCAGGGAAGGAGCTGGTGCGAAGTGCAAGGAAAAGCGGCCCCTCGCCGAACCCGTGGCCGGCACTCCCTGCTGCAGCCACTTGCGGCCCACGTGGGGCTGTCCTGAGCAGCCACAGGCAGCCCCACACAGGCTTTGAGTGGCTGCAGCACAGAGCGCTGGCCACGGAGCGGGCGAGGGGCCACTTTTCCCCGCGTTCAGCACTAGCTTGTAACCCACCCCTGCTGCCAACCTGGCCCCTGCGCCGGCTCTGGGCTCACCCGTTGGGGCTGCGCCATGGCGGCAGCTGCTGTGGCCCCTCCACTTCCCACGCCGGGCAGCATTTGCCACCACCACCTCTGGGCTGCCCAGCACGCGAGCTCTGGGCAGGCAGCAGCAGCAAACACTGCCCAGCGTGGAAAGCCAGGGGGCCACAACTCGCGCCATCCGG